AACCTACTGGGCTCAGGCAGTCCTTCCGCCTCAGCCTTCCAAGTAGCTGGAACTACAGGCACGCACTACCATGCCCAGCTAATTTTTTGATTTACTGTAGAGATGAAGGCTCACCAAGTTGCCCAGGCTGGTCTTGAACCCGTGGGGTCAGACAGTCCTCTCACCTCTGCCTCCCAAAATGCTGGAATTATAGGGGTGAGCCACTATGCTGGACCTGGCCCTTCTTCTTAATAAGCTGCTCTTAAACTTTATGGCTTGCCATTGCAACAGTTGCCCCAAGCCAGAAGACATTCTTTTTTTTTTTTGACGCCCCTCCCCACCCTAGAAGACATTCTTGACTCCCTCCTCTCCTTCACACACTTTGCAACCAATCAGTCTCCAAGTTTTGTCCATTCCACCTTCTAAATGCCTACCAAAGCTGTCTACTCTCTTCAGTTTCTAGTTCTGGATGGAGCTACATTTTTCTGTTCATTTTTGAGTCAGGCTGGAGTGCAGTGGCACAATCACAGCTCACTGCAGCCTTAGCCACCTGGGCTCAGGTTGAAAATTCCACTTCAGTCTCCCGAGTAGCTGGAACTTCAGGCGCATACCACCAGGCTCTGCTAATTTTTTTTTTTTTTTCTGTCCATTTGATGTCTCGCTATGTTGCCAAGGCTGGTCTCTAAATCTTGGACTCAAGTGATCCACCTGCCTCAGCCTCACCCTTCCAAAGTGTTTCAATTACAGATGTTAGCTATACCACCCAGCTTGGAGCTAAATTTGATGGTTTTTTTCTGCTTGTACTCCTTGGGGAAGAAGAGGGTTAAGGCCTTAGATGTGAGACAGACTAAGACAGTCAAATTGATCAGAGGAGACAGGGGAAGCCTAATGCTCTCCAGTTCAGGTCAACTGTCTTCAGAGCTACTGCATTACCTCCTTATTGTTTTTTTTTGTTTTACTCAGAGTCTCACTCTGTTGCCCAGGTGGGAGTGCAGTGGTATGCTGCTCACGGCCATGGCAGCCTCGACTTGCTGGTCTCAGTAATCCTTCTGCCTCAGCCTTCCAAGTGGCTGAAACCACAGGCACATGCCACCATGCCTGGCTATTTTTAAAATTTATTATAGAGATGAGGTCTCTTGTGGGATGCAGAGGCTCACACCCATAATCCCAGCACTTTGGGAGGCCAAGGTGAAAGGATTGCCTGAGCCCACGGGTTCGAGACCAGCCTGGGCAACTTGGCAAGGACCACCCCCCCCATATCTACAATAAATTTTATTTTATTTTTTTTTGAGTTGGAAACTCACTCTGTCACCCAGACTGGAGTGCAGTGGCCGCTCCCGGCCACCGCAGCCTCGACCTG